CTGAGAGGAAGAGGTCAGCAGACAACTCAGCGCAATTAACAAGGTCTTCCCACAGGCAAGTGAGTGTAGGTGCGAGGTGGTTTCCCCATAATTACACTTTAGACTAAAGGTGCACACCCAGCACAAGGCGCATCCCAAAGTAGGGCACAGTTGTTGTGCGCGCTTCAAGTTCGGCTCTTTCAAAAAATCTCAAATCAGTAAAAATAAAGAGTTCACGTGAAATTACAGGGAGGAGTACAATATTCAACATAAGCTGTCATCGTTAAATCTTGGATACGCTAAACAGTTTTACACTTCTTAAAAAGAGAAAAGCACGAGGATTCCGAATCTGCTCCTACTTCAGTATATAATCGCCCCTGAAAGGAGCTATAGTCGTGCCAATGCAGCGAAAAAGTACCTTTCGGCGGTACTCGGGCAAAAATCCTCAACGTGGCCATTTTTTAAATAGTGGACGTATTTAGCAGTTCTAGTAACCTTTGATAGAGCAAATCTTCTAGTTTATGATGACGTATTAACTTTTCAGATTGGATGAGTTTGAACGGAGTTATGGCTTTGGAAAGCGTAAAAACTCGCACTCATCACGAATTTTCCTCGTTAATTTTGCAAAAATCCTCAACGTGGCCATTTTTTGAATACTGGACGTATAAAGCTGCTTTAGCAACCGTTTGATAGAGAAAATCTTCTAGTTTTGTCTGCCATATTAACTTTTCGATTTGACGAAAATGAAGCAAGTTATGGCTTCGGAAAGTGTAAAAACTCGTGCTCATCATGAATTTTCCTCGTTAATTGATCTAAATTTGTTATTTCTTATAAATTTTTTGTAATTTCAATACTGATTAGAAAGAGCTCTTCACAAAACTCCCAAATCTGCTTTCAGATTGAAAATTCGTCATATTTGAAGAAAGTTATAATCATTTGAATATTCAAATTTCAATAGTAGATAAGCTGCTCCAAGGCCAAGGCAAAAAGGTCTACGGACAACTTGAACTCAGTCCTTTAAACCGACTTGATTCGAAGGCCATGCCTGCGCTCTCTCGCCTAAACAGTGGCATATGATTACTGTGATCTGATACTCAAACTTTGCCACAGCGTAACTGGCTCACCAACTCTGGAATCCCTTTAAACCGCCTCTGCGCTCTCTCGCGGGTCCCTCTCCTCTCCAAGGCTTAGTCCTAGGGCATTCACCCGTTCTCTAATCGTCTGTGCTCTAGCCATCGCGGCAGGACCATTGAGGAAAAATCAAGTAGTCCGTAAACCCATAGCAGATCAACATTCTGGACAAGATATCGAACGGCAGGCTGAGCATGACAGACTTGGTGGAGTCCGCCAAAGACCTTAGCATCTAGCGTCTGAGTGACTTTTTGACGTGAAGGGGCATCACCTCTGTACTCGCGTACCTAGCACTTCTCCCACGGTGAGGCTTTTCAGTGGGACTGAGCCCAAACTTTGCCTTTACGATCCTCGAATGAATCCTATTGCAAGGAGGACAGGAGAGAAGATCAGCGCAGTCCCAGCCACTGATAGGGTACTGAGCTAGTGAACCAATCGCAACGGCAAAGACGAAACGAGCTATGAACTTCAACCTCATACTGGGCCTGCGGTCATTTTGATGAGCGCCCCTTGCACCCTAAATTGGGAGTGCCTCCGCACGTTGCTACCAGGGTATTGTAGCAGATACCTGAGCGCAGCCGATGCACCAGCACACGCCATCAGTATGGCAAGGACTGCTGCAGAATGAAGTTTGATGGAAACCTTATGGTGGCCGACCATGAGCGAGAAGCACGCCTGACCATCTGGGAAAAATCATTCTGCGACCGCAGAGCCTTCCCTAGTCGGTCAGCCAGTGGAGATGAATACGAGTACACTGCGAGAACAACACGCGGCACGCCTGATGGCTACCTCGCAGCGAGGTGAATAACGGCCGAGGAATTCCTCGACCATGGCTCTGCACTGCACGAGAGTAGTGCCGAGAGTGAACGTACCGCGCGGAGAGCACAGACGGCTCGGCATGGCGAGTGTGAATGTCCGCGCGAGAGATCGTAACTGATCAGGCAAAAATCCTCGACGTGCCGTTGAGGAATCTTCTACCGATATTCACCCTTACTCGCAGCCAAGGAGCATCAGCTTAACCAAAGCCCAAACTCCAACTACTTTAGCAATATTAATCTCCGTTGTTGTGTTCGCCGGGTGGCCTGGTTTGGAAACCGCTTCACTGAATGAGGACAAGCAATGCGAAAGCCAGCGCGGAATAGCTCAGTACTGCGAAAAGATCGTCGGAAACGTTTCAGAATCTTCCTCCTCCGAATGGCTCCCCGCCACATGCAATGCCAACTCACCACGTTCTGAGGGAGATAGCCAGGGCCACGATACCTCATCCACCATATAGCATTGGCATCGCTCTATCGGACTATCGCCTCCCCTGCGCCCTGAATAGCATCTGCCAGAGAAGAAAGTTAAAGATTGCGACCACCCCAAAAACGACCTTCAAATTCTTCAACTTCCAGCTTCACTCATTCTGGGCGGAAAGCTTCCAAACGTTCCCTAGCAAATGCATACTCAGTGAACATAATGGTGGCTATGCAGTGGTCAATTGTAGAAAAATGAAACTTGTATAAACTGAAGTGTTAAAACTGGAACGGGAATAGAGGCAACCTAACATATGTACAGAGGTTCTTTCGAATAATATCGGACCCAGTAGCAGTAGTCAAAAAAGGCTAATTGAAACTGGTGAAAACATCGGAGTTCTGTTTCCCAATACAATTAATAATCTCAATTGAAAGGCCATTAAAAGTGAAGCACTCACCATCGATCTGCTCACGTGAGAAGAATTCCGTCTGAAATCAACGGTTCCCGATACGTGCTTAGATTGGAAATCGATACGATTGCAATAGTGATCGATAATCACACTCACCATTTCTCGACCACGAGGCGACCCTAAATGGAGCGCCCATTCGTCGCTGGTGCGAGATCGGCCGATTGCTGTTTGCTGACAGCTGACGTCAACTACGGGACAATCCACGCCGTGCATCCATTGGAACGGTGTCTATCCTCCGTTTGGCCGAGTGAGATCAGAGGAGAGCGAATGATCGCATTTTGTGATATTTTTGGTGAGCATGTTCTATTCAAATCGTATTTACGGATGACACGAGAGAGAAGGAATTTTTCAAAAGGTAAAAATTATCTGTTTTGCCACGGTCAACGAGGCAATTGACAATATCGACCATTGGCGATGAAAGAGAGGAGGGGTAGGGGGGTGAAAATTCGTTCAAATATCGTGATCCTGACTGGAGGAAAGTCGAGCGACGAGGAGGGACTAAATCGTTGCGTTTCGGAAGTCCAATGCAAATTTCACGGGAAAAAAATTCACGATTCCTCGAACACCTGAGAAGTGATCTGTGGAGGAGACAACAGTGATCCCTATTATAACGACAAAAGTGTTCACCCCTTACGACTGTATGGCATCAGAGTTAAGCCGGAACAGTGTGCATAAAGAACTAGCGGAGAGATTGGTTAATGGTTTTGCAAGTAATTCCAACTCCACTCTTCTTGTAACCACGGCATTTTCGTTGTTGTTGTTGTTCTGACATGGGGAGAGGGCAGAAACAAGAGTCACTCTCCCCTCCCCCTCCCCCACATCAAGCTGAATTGACACTTTGCTTGGTTCGAACCGAAAGCACCAAGAGCATATAGAAGAGCAAATCCGAATCTATCAGAAAAACTCCTGAAAGCCTTTTATAAGGTACCGGATATCTTAGTGTCGCTTTTCTGAGTTCAGGAAGTTTTGGGGCCGATTACTATGGAAAATCAATATCTCAGAAAGTCCTTTTTGCTCATTAATACTGCGAAATATGTTGCTTATTGTTTTCTATTGTTGGTTCACAATTTAACTTTCCCCCAATTTTTATACTTTTTTTTGAAAATTCCTGGGTCCAGTGTGCAAATTCGCATGTGTGTACCAAATGCTTCAAAATTCTTGCTGAGAGCTACAACTTCCGCCCACCAAACCAACATTGCATTTGTTGGAGGGAATACTACCATTTAAAATGCTCATCGGTTTTTCACAGTTTTCTCAAAAGACAGTGAAGTCTTTGAAGTGATGCCCGCAATCGTCGTCAAAAAGGTGGCCCTAGTTAAATCAGTCGAGACGGGGCTGCACCAGTCTTGTGCTGAAATGGTAGGACACCTTAGCAGTGACTGATCGATGATGCACAAACGCTTTAACGAAGTTGATTGCACAAGAAATTCTAATAAATGTGCTCATCTGCTACTCACGTGTGCTCAAAAAGGGTGCGTTTTTGACCCTATGTGGCAAAAAAGACTCCGGGAAAAATTGTCCAGTTGAGCTGGTAAGTTTAACTTTTCCGCCAGTGTAGGGGGTGCGTGACGATTCAATCGTGGCAGTGAGTAGGTCGAATTAGATAGTAATTCCACGTGCTTCAGTTAGTGTAAAGCCAATGATATCCTACGACTGGAATTGAAATTCAAATGAAAAGTGGTTGTTAGCTTGGTTTGTAGTGATCAGCACGAAACACAGAGAGAAAACGCGTTCTGAAAGAGTCGTAGGGAATGGCTGCGAAAATATACTCCAAATTGATGTACACGTATCGAGAACCTTGAGCAGAATATCAGTAGAAAGTTTGAAACGCGGAGATTCACCGCCTTTTTGACATCACCACATACGGGACCGAAAATGCGTCATTCTTTGGAAAGGAAGCGACGTTAATGAAAGAACAATCAGAATATACTACGACCATAAAAGTTATTCTACTAAGCGAGAACGGAAACTTATTGTTAGTTTGCATAAGCAAGTCTTCGTGTGGACAATACATCTTTATAGCTCCGAGAAAGCTATCGACGATATTTTTAATACCAATGATGTTTTCCCTTTTACAGTAACCTCTCCAAGAAAACAACTAGATACATCACTGGCCAGTAAAAAGACAATATTCAGAATAACTTTATTTGTGGACAACATGAGTATGTACAAACTGGAATACATGTCAAAGAGCGAATCGCTTCACCACTGGTTCCTGAAATTTTTTGATAATTTCTCTATATAAATCCCTTACATTGAGACAAACCACAAATCTTACATCTTCCATTAGTTTTCGAGGAATCGCCGCTGCATTTTTGGCTCTCTCCAATGCCTGCTCCAACAGTTCACTCTTTTTCTTTTCAGTTTCCAGAATGTTTGAAATGCGAGCGCTGAAATCTCAGTATTTCGCAAAACAAACTAAGCCAGAGGGAGCAGGAATCGAGGCATTAGCTAGGTGGAAATTCTCACTTGATTCCGAGGTCGACTTCTGGAATACCAGCCAGCATGTGCTCCGAGAGAAGTTCATTGCTAGCTTCGCTACGGTAGCCTTTGAGCTTGCTTGCAGCTCTCATCAGCACATCTGACTCCTACAATGCGCGAACCTATCATTGAATTGGGGTTTAAATCAGGATCACTCCTATGTTGGTACAAGCACCAACCAGGGGAAGGGTGTAGTATATGGCCCACGAGGTGAGAGGGAGTCGTGACCGCGGTGATCAGCAGGGAAAATCGATATCGTCTGCAAAATGCATCGGCGAACTAGGAAGCACAGCGTGGGCTACACCGTGACAGGGATTGTTAGTGCAAACCGGTTTAAATCCGACTTATCAGTGACAAAAGAGGTTTCAGTAAAACGACGTTTTGGTGAGAAGAAAACGAATAAAATTGGGCGCAATGTGGCTGGGGGGGGGGGGGGGACAGTCGCCGCGAGCGATGTAGTGTAACTCGAACATTCCAGCTTCTCACGGAACATTCCAGCTTCTCACGCATGCTAAGTGACTGCCCTCACCCCCACCCCCCTGAATTGGCTACATTCCCCCTGGCTCACGAATTTCCTGTTGCCGCAACGCCGCGCGCGGCGACTGCCCCCCCCCCCCGAGCCACATTGCGCCCAAAATTGTAATGATATCATATGAACACGGACAAAAAAAAAGAAATCGTCACAGAAGTTTGGAGTAACAGATTTCCACCAACGAACTCTCAAAAGCAAATAATCTCAGTTTTCTAACACACTCACACAGGTTTACAAGAAAATGGTTTTGAAGGAAGGTACGACCATTGAAAGTGCTCTTCCAAAAAAGTCCCAACGGGACTAATTTTTGGAGCGTTTTATTTTTCAGTACTTTTTGGAAATATTGTACCTTGTACTTTGTCAAACTAGCTTCAGCTTCCCAAATGAATGAGATTTGAGAAAGTTTCGATCATATGAAAGTTAAAAACTCGCGACTTCGTAGTCCCAAAACCTCCA